CTATTCCAGTGCCTCCATCTTCATACTTCATGGAGGCTCATACTTCAGTCCTCTGCTCCGCCTTCAATATTCCCGATTTCTTCTTCGGCCGTTCCTATGCTTTCTAGCCAGCGCTAGAAGTGCAGACTAGGGAGTTTCCATAGCAACCACAGCACATGTGCTGTGGTTGTTATGGGAGGAGAGAAGAGGGATCTCCTGCGGGAGGTCTTTTCTTCTCTCCCACCAGGTGTGAAAAAAAATATTTTAAATAGGTTTTTCTCCTAATATATACATACGCTTGCAAAACTGCTAGCATAATGTAAGATAAAATATTATGCTCCATTTAATGAGCATAAATTGTTTGTGTCATGACAGGTGCGCTTTATGGCTGCCCAGGGCCCTAGGCAGGGTACCAGATTAAGACCCCCGCCTAGAGTCCTGGCTCTGTTTCTGTGAGTGATATGTGAGGCTTAGTGTTATGTGTGTGATAGTGTGTGGAGGAGGGTGAGAGCTGTATGGGAAGAGGCTGAGTATGTCTGTGGGTGCTGGTTGACAGATGTAGGAGTGGTATGTTTAGAGAAGTCTGAATGTTGTGTGTGCATGTTCTTCCCCCACCCCACTTACCTTCTATGTCAATCCAGTGGAGTGTGAGTTGGTATACTGGTGGTCCGGGGGGAGGTTTTTGATCTGCATAAATATCAGGTGAAGATCACTTTAACAGTGTTTTGTGCCGGGGGACCGTGAGGATTGCCCTTAAAGTTATCTGTACCTGATATTGGTGCAGAACACAGTGATCCCTCTGTAAAGTGAGGAAGTGCAGGTTCGATGAGGACCTACTCAGAGCAAATGATCCAGGCCCAGACAGGGGCCCAATAGACCCCTGTTTAAACCTTGATTGCCTAATGTGTAATCCAACTTTGAGTATGCGAAGGCTACATATGTTCTGCTATACCTTCTGACCCCACTGCTAGTTGAGTCATCGAAGCAGAGATTTGTGTCTTTGGTGGCACAGGTCAACATCACAAACTTCTATAGCAATCTCGTAGACTATGACTGAGAGTATTGATCTATGATACCTTAGAAATATGATTTACACAGTGAGAATGAATATGTGCTGCTCCCTTTAATACTGCACATTGGACATGTATTTACTAGCTCCTGGACTTGTTGTTATAAATATACTATTTTTAAACAGGTAGGAGAATAAAAAAACGACGCGCAAACCTGAATTTCTAAAGAGTCAGTTAAAATTAGCAAAATGATGAGGCATTGCAGTTTCTTTTAATACCTTTTTTATTGGGATAGCAGAAATTTGTATTGACAAGTTTTTGCGAGTTCCTCCCTTTATCAAGTCTAAAGCATTGCTTTGGATTTAATGAAGGGAGTAACCCCTTAAAGCTTGTCACTACAAATTTCTGTTATCCCAATAAAAAAGATATTAAAAGAAACTGCAATAACTCATTTTTTGTTTGTATCTACATTACTGGACTGATACGGCAACTCAAAATCACGACTAGTCAGTCAAAATACAGGTGGGACTCAGTCTGTATCCTGTAGATGTATTACCAGTGGTGGAAACCCATCGTAGAATGGAACACACCAAATTAATTAACTAAGCAACTGCTTCGATGGGAACCTGGATTATTTCCACGAACAAGGATTAAGGATTACATGAATCAAACAAGCCTCGTAACATCAGTTCTGGTCATTAACGTTGCAAGCTATGCTTTTCCTTATAGAAACATCGAAACATAGAACAGAAGACAGCAGATAAGAACCATTCGGCCCATCTAGTCTGCCCAATTTTCTAAATACTTTCATTAGTTCCTTGTCTTATCTTATAGTTAGGATAGCCTTATGCCTATCCCACGCATGCTTAAACTCCTTTCCTGTGATAACCTCTACCACTTTAGCTAGAAGGCTATTCCATGCATCCACTACTCTCCTTTCTTTTTAAAATTTCTTAGGTAAATAAATTGACTACCTGAGAGGCCAACCACGTTCTCACAAGCCTAATAAATATTTATGATGAGTAAAATGAAATACTTGCCATGCTATGCTAACCCCATCTTGCTTATGTTATGAAAAACTCTTTAATACAGTGACATCTTCATAAATCCCTAAATAGATTATGTTGTTGTTTTTTAAGGTAAAGGTGTCCAACCTCAGGCTAGTTGAGATTATCGAATATCTCTTTCAGTATATAGATTATTTGATGTATATGTTGTTTATTTGACTCTTCTCCATGAAATATGCAAACTATCCTTTTTTTCCGACTTGGTACATTCTTCAATATGCTGCTAATAATGTACAGTTTGCAATTCTGCTACAGACAAGTTATAGTTTGCTGTAAACTGTAAAGCAAAATTAATTCATTTTAGTGGGGTATACAACATGTCTTATTTGCAGTAAACCAGTGAATTTAATGTAATACAAAAGCAAAAAAAGAATATAACAAATGTAGACAATAATGACTATATAAGATATATATATATATTTAATTCTTTAGTTTAGTTTTTACATATTTTGTCAAGAACATTGCTACATTTGCATAGGAAGTGCAACAGGGTCGATTTGGACAATAACATAACAGTGAATATGTGTTCTTCTCATTCACATCAGCATCAACACATGTAAATAAATATGCGTACATGACATCGAACGCATTTGTTTAGTAAGTGCAACAGTGTCATCAGGTATAATAACAGAACATCGGTTGTGTTTGCTTATCATTAGGAGTGGTGTCGACCAAAGCGATATCGTAGCACTGAGTTTATTTGCTTGACCGATGCGTCCATGTCATCAAATACAATAACATAACGTAACCATGGGGGATGTGGGAGGGGGATAGTGGTTACGAGGTCTGGCCTGGTTCCCGGGTTGCGTCCCCAGTTCACACCCCAATCTTGGGGTGCATGGGACTCCGCCGTCCTTCGTCACCCCCTTCCACTCGGGGGCGTGTAGGTGAAGATGGGGGAGGAGGTGGTGGGGAGAGGGAGACAATATAAGATAGATAATCAAACAAAATTGACTTTTTGATTCAGCGGGTTGTGATTCAGTGATGTCTTGTCCATAGGGAAACTTAAGACTCAATGAATAATTGTCATGATAAATTGATATCTAATGGCAGTGGTGCAAGAATTAGCTACTAACAGAACTTGCAAATTTCTATTATAAATGGAATAAACATACACCATACTGTACTCAGTGCTATAATCCCCTCTCCCCTTCTTTCACTGCAACACAAACAGGCTCACTGATAATAAATGATGACTGTCAATATATACAGTTGAGAGCATATGGGCATGTGTAGAACTTAAGTTGTTTTTGGAAACTGCCCAACCGGAGAGCACCTCAGACATGCTCTGTTGTTTAATGTCTGAGCTAGATGTCCTATGCATCTATCTCCAGGCTAAAGTATAGCAGCCCTGAGTTAGAGAACTGACTTGTTAAATATTGTGAGTTTGATCTCAGCATGAAGATTTGTTTTCCATATAAGTATGCAAGGAGGTGAGTATTTACACTGGACGGAAGGCCCGAGCATTAGGACATGCTATGCCGTACTAACAGGGTTAAAGCCCTCCTTTTGTAGGATGGCATCGATCGCCTTAACATCAGTAAATATTTATTTCTATATTCTATTATGTACTATTAATTCAGACACTTTCTTCAGGCTCACAACATTTAAACAGACATTTCTGCTTTATTCAATTAAAGACAAATCATCACCAGCGAGTCCTTCAGGAGCAGGTCCAATGGGTATTGCACAGCTCCCAATATTTCTTATTTTAGAGGTGTGAGTAGGTGTGTGGCCAGGGGCATGGCTATTCTGTGCAATTTTATGTGACATTCTAATAAAAATGTATGCAACTAAAGTGTGAATTAGAACAAGAACAATGTATGTTATTTACACAGACTGATTTCTAAACACATTTATTGTAGTTTAAACACACATTACTGGGAGTATTATTGCTGTGGAGATCTGCTATATACTCAGACATCCAACAATATGGAGATCCTTGAAGAAGGACATTAGGATAGATAAGAGGGACAGAGGTATTTGGTTCAAAGTAGGAACTGTTTTTCCTAAATACATTTTGGGAAGCATGGTATTGAACTTTAATCAATCCCTATGAGATATCCATCTAGAATACTCTTGAAACTGACTATAAGTACCTGCTAACAGTGATAGTTGCCTTGTTGGATATAATTTTGTCAAATCACCAATAGAAATATAAGTGCTATCATCTTTTCATTCTCTTGTCCTTTGTCCCTTGTCCATGTACTCCTCATTTAGTAGTATGTGCAAGTTGCTCTGGGTCTTAACTGCCATAGGTTTAATGAATACATTTATTGACAATCTGAATACGCTTTCGTAATTAATACACTGTGAGCCTTTCTGGCTGAAGAGAATTTAAAATTGTGAGATTGAAACAATATACAACTTCGTCAGTTAATCCTTTTTTTTTTCCAGTTATTTTTTATCCTTTTTAGTCTTAAATGTGGAGGTTTTTTTGTAGATATAACAGATAAGTAAACAAAGTAGATTTTTGGAACAATACCATGAATTTTTAGGCAGAAACCTCAGGGCAAGGAGGCCCCAAAGTGTCACCATATCTGTGAAAGGTGTTGGTTGTGACTTCTGTGGAATTCTAAGAAGGCAGGAATAGATGCAATGTTGTTTTGAAAAGAAAGGTCAGGGGTTTGAACATGGCCTGAGGTCTCAAACCATACACACTCGTGTTTTCATTTTATGAAGGTCATGTTGATCCTCTGTCATGTCAGTTACTCTGTTCCTGTTTATCAGTAGTCAGGGGTTGCAGCTATTGTTTTGAACTGGAAGCAGGTACAAAATGCTGGGGATTACAGGGAAACCTAGCAAAATGCATTTGGTTAGAGGCAGGGGTCAAGTCCTGGGGAATAAAGTGTGGGAACTCATCCAAAGTTCCACCATCTCCCCCCCCCTCAAAAAAATAAATTACACTTGTATGCATATATAAACACACACACTCGCTCAGGTGCACAGATAAACACACACATACACTAACAGACACACACACACATACACACTCATCAGGCCACTTCTTGGGCCCCCCCATGACAAGGGGAGCACGGGGGCATTTGGAGGCGGCATTTTTTGCCGCCCCCTGAGTGCCTGCAGGACCACAAACGGGAACGGCGTCCATGCTCAAAAAAAAGTGCAGGAACTCCGTTCCCACGCGTTCCTGCAGGCCTCGAGCCCTGGTTAGAGGGTTACTCCAGCCTCCAAGACCACATCTGCTTTTAGAAGTGGTCATAGAACAAGCAATCTTTCTGTGCAGTGTTTCTGTTTGAAAATCTGCACATAAAAATATATATGCTACCTAGCGCCTCGCCCTATCCCTCCCCTTTGTACCCACTGACTTACAATCCACTTTTCCAACCAGGCATGAATGCGTCCACCTTCAAGACACTCCATAACTCTCGATATCTCAAGTTGGGCAGTCTCCTCGATTCGCAGGGTATCAAATCTCTCAAAGAAATTGCTCCTCACTACCCCCACAACATTACAACTCTTTAACCTGCAACAACTCAAACACTTCATCTCCTCCACCATCTCTCTTCAATGCAAACAGGAACCTTACCATATTCGAAACGTACAGCGACACACATGCCATTAAACCAAAACAGTTGTCTACGTTTTACAAACTTCTCTAAGGGGACACATGCATCCTCAAACCCAAATTCATATCTATGTGGGAGGACAAATTACAGATCTCCCTGACCACTACAGAATGCAAACGGATATTCTCTAATATCTTCCATTCCTCTATAAGCAATTCCACTCACGACCATAACTACAAAAAGATTGCCAGATGGTACTATACTCCCTCACATCTCCACCGACTGTTCCCTAACTCCCCAGACACCAGGTGGTCTGTCACCAACACAGAGGCACTCCTTGCTATATATGGTGGTCATGTCAAATAATCCAAACATACTGGCAGATAATTATATCCCTGATCAATGTGGTAATGGGAATTCAGCTTTCCCTCTACCCAAAAGTTTAATTGTTTCCCTTATTTCCAACCCACTTGCCAAACCCCAACGTATACTGATCAACCACCTTCTGACAGCTGCCAATATGTTAATCCAACTCTATTGGAAAAAGCCAACCCATCTAACACTATGAGATTGGATACAGAAAGTAGAGTCCATTAGACTCATGGAGGAAATACACCTATCTCTCTCGCACTCTTATTCTATTTACACCGAGAGCTGGACACAGTGGATTAAATTCATGCAAAGCCATCCTAAAACGAGATATCTCCCTTCACCCTAGTCATTTATATCTTGACACGCTCAAACTTCACCACTGCAGACCCAATCCCAATAGACTCTGATGTTTATCATCGGATAGATAGACATTGTTAGCAAAACGCAAAGGTATACTCGAAAAAAAAAAAGAGTTCTTGATGCAGACACCCATGCACTTTCTAGACATTGATTGGGTGCACGTATGATCAATCATCACCGAATTATCAACATGGAAAGTATATTATTTATGTTATCATACCAATCCCGCAGACTCACACATGGGTGGGGCAATACCTTACCTTGCCTAATTGTAAAATTGCATTGCTTCTGTGTATCGAACAGACTGTTTGAATTGTTTTGATGTTTACATCGTATTGATGTTTACCTTGTACTGATTTCAACCTGATCAATGTGTAAAACCAACCTTTTTCTGAAATAAAGAAAAATAATATATATATAGATATATGCTCTTTTGTGCCATGGTCTAGTTGAACCTCCAGCACACCTGACTTTTGCACGCCTACAAATAGAAGCTCTTTGGCTTATGTTTGCACAGCATGTGTGTACTAACGATGTGCTGTGATTTGTACTAACTAATGACGTGCTGTGATATAAATCTTTCATCTCCCTCACTTTCTAATTACAGACCTATCTCCCACTTTCCCTTCTTAATTCTGCCTCTCTCTCTCTCTCTCTCCCTATTTCTGCCTCTCTACATTGTATTATATGTGTCTCTTCTCTTCACCTTGTTCACCTTCCAAGTCCAGCCTTTTGGAGGCCAACATTCCATTTCTCCTTCCCGTACTCGTCTCTGAGTGGAACATGTACAACAAGGTACTCAGAACCTTTAGATGTGGTTCGGAGACATTGGATAGCTAGGCTGTAGTGTTTGTGATAACAAAGGGGGGAATAGAGAAATTGTGGAGGGAGGAGAGAAGGGAAAAGAAATCCAAAAACACTTCATGTTGAAAGCAAAGAAAGGATAAAGAGTGGAATTAAGGTGGAATATTGATGTAGAGGTATGAAGGGAATCATCGCACCTTTAAGTTGTAGAATGTAGAAGAGATCACTCCAGATGAGGTCAAAGAATCTCACATTTAGGAGGGCAGAGTTTTTAATAGTGTTATTTTGGTCCACTTAATCAATGCCGCTTTGGTTCGGCTGTAGCAGAAGCCGATATGGTTTAGGCAGCTCTTAAAGGACCACTATAGGCACCCAGACCACTTCAGCTTAATGAAGTGGTCTGGGTGCCTGGTCCAGCTATGGTTAACCCTTTTTTTTATAAACATAGCAGTTTCAGAGCACCCTCAGGGAACTATAGTGCCAGGAAAACGAGTATGTTTTCCTGGCACTATAGGGGTCCTTTAAGCAATAAAGTAAGGTTTACAGTGAATTATTTACCTTGCAATATGTAGCAGAGGAGAAAAAATCATGGCCCATGAGACACACACAGACAGAAAGTTTTGCAACATGTAAGTACACATGTACTCAGATAATATAAACCCATTTTGGTTTAGCCTTCTGAATACTTTAAGATACAATATTGAAAAATATGAGGATTATCCCTAATTCTGGAATGGAGAGCTTCTGGAGTAAATGAGATCCCTTGCAGGAACCTTGAGGTGTGACTGCTATACAGCCTGTAATCAGGCGACCGTATGTGGTTAGGGGTATGTTATATTCCCTAAACTGGGTTTTGAGAGTTTGAGCAAACTAGAATGCCATGAAGCTTAGACACATTCAGACTCTGTGTGTCTATATCTCCACCCAGCCCCTCTGTGTGTCTCTTTATCCCACTCCCCAGCCCCACTGTGTGTCTCTTTCTCTTCCAGACCCTTTTGTGTCTCTTCCACTCCCCTCCCTCCCTTTGTGCCCTCTTCCACCCCCACTTCCTATGTGGTTTCTTCACCTCCTGCCTGTCACCCAGCGATAGCATCCCTAGGTCAGTGCACTCTAGATGGCTGCCTGTGTCGTCTTATGGTTGTGCCGACCCTTGTTGCATCCTAGGCCAAAACCAGCTGTTGAGCGTGATCGTGTGGCAAAAGACGCTAACTGCGGCACAGGGCAGGAACAGCAACAGGAACACAAGCCAGGTTAAGCATACAGCTAAGTGAGCACAGAGCATTCTTTCATGATCGGTTAAGTAGGCAGCACTTAAAGAGACAGTGTCCAATATTCACCATGGCCCCAATTGTACCATTAAAACATGACAAAGGTAGCCCAATTAAAGGATATCTTCTCCCTTTTTTGAAGGGAAAATATCACTTGCCAGAATTTTTAATATTATGCTTACATATATACTGTATATACATTTAACAAATATATATTTTTGAGGTGTGAAATGTAAAATTAAAACCACACCTCTTTATCCTGCGACTGGGTGCCTCCATCTTAGCTCCCTGTCAATCATTGTAATAAACTCCGCCCTTTGCACCTGTCAGTCAGCACAGAGAGAACATACAGAGAAGAGGAGAAATTAAACAATGCTTCTATTTCTCCTCTTCATTTCATCCGGCTTTGCATTGTCCGAAGTGGATTATAATGTTATATATTTGCTAAATCATTAATATAAACTGAAAAGAAATCGAGCATCTCATGTAAAAAAAGTTACCACAAGTAATATATGATTTTCAATGTGTTATTCAATAGTGTAAAGTTCAGGGAAGAAACGTTTCTCTTTAAACCCTTCCCACATTACTTTTATTATTTTCATTTTGCCACTTCCATTCCTAATTTCCCTTTACCTGCAAGCCCTGTCTGTTATAGTAGTGCTAAACATGGTTTATACACAGTTGTGTATGCCCCGCAGATTACTGTAAAGTAAAGTAAACTTCAGGTGACACGTTTACAGGCGGTAACAGCACGCTCCACACAGACTAGCTAGCAAAATGCCCAGCCTCGTATCACAATAACAATGTTTGGCTTGGGAAGGGACCAATTGTTTTTACAGAATGTCACATGAATAAAGTAAGCTGCTATGACCGTGGCTGTGCCTCATTCAGACACTTGCATAAACATGGTGCAGACTGATGTACACATTCTAATTGAAGTTAATTGCATGCTTTCATGGCCAACTTTACACAGCCATGAGAGAGCAGTGATGTTCGCAACAAAAGCATAACAAACTACACGCTGCTCTCAAAAAAAAAAAAAAATGATTTTTTTGGGCATATATTGTTCCTAGACAAGATCAGACTTGAAATGTTTTTGAGAAGGGAAAATATCAGCCATTCCAGAGTCCCGGTTTGTTTTGTGTCTGCAGCACCGAGGTCATCTAACTGGCAGGACCAGACACAGATAGATTTCGTTTGAAATGATGCCAATATTTTGGCTTATGCAGAGCGGTGTTCTTTGCCGGGAATACTCACCAAGATCCACATCACCAAATCCTAGCTTATTATCCACCCTCACATCTTCAGCAGAATCCACACTGGATGCCAATCAACTCTGAAACACCCCACCGGAGATACACTGCCATTTCTGGTTTTAATAGCCTTTAAAGGAACACTATAGTGATTGAAATACAAACCTGTATTCCTAATATTATAGTGTTCTTCTCCTAGTTTAAATTGAGACCCAGCCCCGAAATTTAATTTAGAAAAAGGGAAAAAAAGGGTTTTACTCCCCTTACTTCTAGCCCCAAGATCTAGTCCCAAAGCCGTCCAATCCACCTCCTGCAATGTCTCACTGACCAATCTTCCTCTTGTCCATTGGGGACAAAAAAGTGAATGCGGCAGAAAGTGCCTCACTCATCCTATCAAATGCTTCTCATAGGGAAGCATTGAATCCAAAGCTTTACTATAATCAGCATTTGATGTTGAAAGTCACATAACTGAATCAAACTCAGTCATCATGGCAGAAGCACCCTTTACTGACTATCAGGAAGACAGCCACTAAACATTGGAGCTATAAAACATTAATTATTAAACATTGTATCTAGAAAGCATACATATTTTACATTACAGGACTAATACTATTCCTGAGACACTGTACTCAGACCACTTCATTAAAAGAGCACTATAGTGCCAGGAAAACAAACTTATTTTCCTTTCACTATAGGGTTATTAGGTCCCTCCCCTCCCTCGTGGCCCCCCTCCCTCTGGGCTGAAGGGGTTAAACCCCCTTCAACCACTTACCTTAATCCAGCGCTGGACTCCCTCTGCGCTGGTGACCTCAACACCCCCTGCTGACATCATCTCCGAATGCGCATGCGCGGCCAGACCCGCGCGCATATTCAAACCGCCAATAGGAAAGCATTACTCAATGCTTTCCTATGGACATCAGCATCATCTCAGTGTGATTTTCACAGTGAGAATCGCGGAAGCGGCCTCTAGTTGAGCTGAAGTGGTCTGGGTGCCTGTAGTGGTTCTTTAAGATAAAGTGGTGAGAGTGCCTATGGTGGTTCTTTAAGCAGCTATCATTATTTTTGTGATATTCTGTGTTTGACCCAGCTATAATTTTTTTTTGTCTTCTAGAATTCTTGATCTTGGTTAGTTTATCTTGTATATATTTGTAGTTATGCTGTTCTCGGCTAGGAGACCTTAGACCTTTTCTCCTCTATAGGTATTTTTATGTTAAGCCGGGACACCCTAAGGCCCTGTTTCTTCCTATCACCAATACTTCTCCTTTGCTTCTTGGTTATGACTTGGTCTACATTCTAGAATGCAGTTATTTTCAGCTATCACAGCTCTTTCTATGTCTAACCTCACACAGCACTCCACATTAATGGGGTTTCTGTGAAGCCAAATGAAAACCTAATTAGAACTGATCACTGTGATACAAAAGGACGTTCATATTGGGTATACAGGCAACTGTTTAGAACGTCTAACTTCACACACCCAGAACCAAACAATACTAAATTTCTTCCTTTTCTATGAGCACATCCCACCCACCCAGATTCCCACTAAATTTATAGCATGCTCCCCCAGCTGTCTGAGATCGTACTCCATTACCTCCTCGCTCCCTTTACAATTTACCAGTAACTTCTACTCTCCGTTAACGTCCTTTAGCCATCATTTTCAAATTCCCCCTGCTACCTCTTGTCTCAGATCCCCATTATATCCTTTCGATTGTAAGCTCATGGGCTATCTATACAAACACTTAGATAGATAGCCCATGAGCTTACAATCTAAAGGATGTAATGGGGATATATGAATAAAAGAGCTTGAGTGGTTAGATTTTAGCTTACGCTTTTCTATTTTTCTGTGTATATTGTAAGTTCTCCCATATTTGTACAGTGCTGTAGAACATGTTGGCGCTTTATAAATGCCAGTAATAAATTAAATTAAATAAATATATTGATAGGCTACAACCCACAAAAAAATTGTTTACTGTCATACCACTGCTTTCCTCACGGCAACGAAGGCTCGTCAAACACTAATGATGATGTTTTACATAATTATTTTGGTTTATTTAAACTATATTTATAATTACAATAATAGATTTAATATGTTTTGCTAAGCTTTTCCAATGATTTAGTATATTTTGTCAAACTTTTAAAATTGTTAAATATTATGAAAGATATTTAAATTTTCTAATATTTCGATGTTCTGATATACTGATATCATTTTTACATATGATGTATATTTTGATATTTTTATATTGTGAAAAAATTCATTTGAAAAGTCTACATAACAATATTAAATGATTTGAGAAACGTATCCAACAATATTGAATTGAGTCCTATATTACTTGTGTTGAATTTCAGATTTGGAGAATGGGTCTCCGAACTGGCATGTACAAAAGTTAAAAACAACTGATTAAGAGATAAAGAATATCAGCTTTACTTACTTATTTACATCTGTGTAATTTGTGAATGTTGAAGATTTCTATCTGACTCAGTTAATTATAATACTATATATGTGACATGTTACTTTTTAAAATATGGTTGATATTTTTTTGTGCTCTTATAACGTATTCATTTCAACCACTATGTTATCATGTTGCACTCACCGTAGGCAGATAATCCAATTTAAAGAAAAAATAACAAAAAAAAAACTGCTAAGACACTCAGAATTCCCCTTTCTTTCACCCCCTCATCCTTTTCAATATCACTCTTCGTTTAAGCATGCTCTTTATTTCCTCCCCAGCATTCCTTTCTATCTCTGCCTTCTCGTCAGCCTTTTAATATTCTGCCTACAATGCAATTTAATTCCTTTTTTTTTTTTTTACTGAGTATTCTTTCCACAAGTCTCACAAATCCCAAAGGTACATTTACATAATTTTTCTAGCGTACCTTCCTATTCCATTGTCTTATTCCTGTAGGTGGAGTTAACCTGGTGCCTGATGAGGACATTCCAGCTCAGGTGTTCATTTATATTTGCTAACAAGCCCTGATTCAGTTGTTGAGCAATGCCCAATTTCATCCAACCATCATGGGCCAGTGGCTGAGAGTACTGTGAGAAGGTTAGCCCTGTGCTCTCAACCCACCAATGTCATACTGACCGAACATAATTAGTATTGATAGTATTAGTATTTAGTAATGGCTGAGGATAGAGCCCACAGCCTACTAACAACATTGTACCAAGCTGTAATAATAGATTATTATGGAAAACATGTCAATATTTCACATAAAAAATAAATAAATATATATATATATATATATATATATATAAATAAATCAGTAATATATATATATATTATATATATATATATATATATATATATATATTTATTATTATTTTTTATATCAGACTATATATAATATTAAACCATTTTAGAAGTTTATGCAAATTTGGAAATGTTGCCACTGGCCTCAATTTAATATTTTTGGATATGCTTTTCAAATGTTTTAATATTTGTGGATATAGTTTTCAAATTATATTTTAAAAATGTTAAAGCGCAAAACAATATATCCCATATAAAACAATATATCAAATAATATCAACAACTTATAACATTTTAAACAATTTCATAATATTAAATAATTTTAAAAATGTATCCAAAAATCGTAAATCTTTTGGAAGGCTTATCTAACAATATTAAATCGAGGACCTATGGCCTTCGCTTTAATATTTTAGTATAACCTTCTAAAATGATTCAATATTTGGGGATAAACTTTTAAAATTATACTTTTCCAAATATTAAAATATATTTAAAAAAAATATATAAAAAAAATTATATCAATTTATTAAAATATTTTTAAAGTATTAAAGGGTTTTAAAGTTTTTCCAAAAATATTAAATCATTTGAAAAATGTATCTAAAAAAATTAAAATTGGAACTTATTTTAGCCTGTTCTGAGTAGGTGCCCAATTACTAGTGTTATTGTGTCACTGAAGTATTCAGAATAAAGGAGTTTACGCAGACAACATATTAACGTAGATTTTAGTTGCTTTATTACAGCTACATTTTAGTTAAAGGAACACTATAGTCACCTAAATTACTTTAGCTAAATAAAGCAGTTTTAGTGTATAGATCATCCCCCTGCAATTTCACTGCACAATTCACTGTCATTTAGGAGTTAAATCACTTTGTTTCTGTTTATGCAGCCCTAGCCACACCTCCCCTGGCTATGATTGACAGAGCCTGCATGAAAAAAAACTGGTTTCACTTTCAAACAGATGTAATTTACCTTAAATAATTGTATCTCAATCTCTAAATTGAACTTTAATCACATACAGGAGGCTCTTGCAGGGTCTAGCAAGCTATTAACATAGCAGGGGATAAGAAAATCTTAATTAAACAGAACTTGCAATAAAGAAAGCCTAAATAGGGCTCTCTTTACAGGAAGTGTTTATGGAAGGCTGTGCAAGTCACATGCAGGGAGGTGTGACTAGGGTTCATAAACAAAGGGATTTAACTCCTAAATGGCAGAGGATTGAGCAGTGAGGCTGCGGGGGCATGTTCTATACACCAAAACTGCTTCATTAAGCTAAAGTTGTTCAGGTGACTATAGTGCCCCTTTAATTAAAGCAGTTTGATTAGGGTTTTGAATTAAGAGAAATGTTGCTTTCTATGGCTGCAATAAAACATGTAAAATCTACTCTGCTGTGTTGCCTGCTTAGAATCCTTAAAATAGAGGACTCTCCTAATGAGATGAGGCTTTTTCATTAACAGTAACAAATATTAACTATGGCACAATAACAAGTAAAAGCTATGCACAACCTATAAATGGATTTAGCTGGGTCTAATCACACACTTGTCTTTTTCAATCCAGGGGCACTTTACTTCATATTCAGTGATGATATTAAACTCTGCGGTTTGAGTTTTCTATAAAGTCCCTCATCGTACTGTTTTTTTTTGTTTTTTTATCATAGTAGGTTATCTGCTGCAGTGTGTTAATAAATGTACAGGCTCCTACTACTTGCTGGTTATTTGCCGGTAAGCTTATTAATCTATACATTTGTGAACATGTAAGTTAGATAGCTGAGTGTAGTTTTGTGAGGTTCGTTTTGTCCAATTTTGAGAAATTCACACACGGCATTGTTACGAATTACTTGTCCATTGCCAGAGCTCCCTTAATGAACTATGCTGAATAAATGGTGAACATTCCAGGCAACTATAAAATAATAAATATGTGATAAGAAGAACATTCTTTCAAAACAATATAAATAATAAATGAATAATGCAAAACACTCTCCAAGATGAACTCATCTACATTATCATATGTCATAGATATACTGTCTCAAAGCTCATTTAATATAGATTATGAACGTATTCAGGGCTACCTCTTAACCCTTAGCCAGAGCCTGATAATAATTAATTTTGAATGGTTTATTGTTTTAAAGCTCAGTTACTGTAGCTGATGAAGGTTGTAGACAATGTCGTAGAGAGCTGCATTCCCATGTCGTCTTTTAAGAATGAGTTAGTGGGTTTTTGGTGTGCACAATATTTTGAGTAGAAGGTAAATATGTTTAGATCACTGCGATTTCTCAGAATCTGGTGAACAAAGCCAGGAAACAGTGGATAAATACTGGAGCATCATAGTGGATACAAAAGTTTGTCGTCAGGCCAGCGTGTTTACTTGTTACATCTACAAAGTACATTGAATCACAGTGACATTATGGCCACAATGCCACCAGAACTTCCTTAAATTCACAATAAATGTAAACAAATAACCCGTTAAGCTTCCTTTTAAGTCAACACTGTTTAAACCTAAGCAGCTCCAAGTGAGCACAAGGGTCACTAGATAAAGGTTAAATAGATGGGTCTGCTCCTCAATTTTGAGTGCTGCTTCTCTACACAATTGGTCCTGTAAGAGTTCTCAACTTGGAGATCTTCTAACTTTTCCATCAATTTTGCCATGACATATGAGGGCTCACATGTGACAGTTCAACAGTCAAATATAACATATCTTCTCTTCTGTCATGTAATGTTACATTGTCCAGCTCTTTCCGTATAGATGAAAGTTTTGGGATTGTGTAATGTGCTGGTGCTATTTTTTAATAATCCTCAGTGCCAACAATGAGTTTATCGTATACAAACCAATTCACTAGGAACATATGCTGCCCCACTGTTTATTTGTGTTTATCCATAGAGTGTGGGCAAAAGAAAGGTACTGGATGCAGGAGTATACAATGCTTAAATAATACATGTTAGGATGAATTTTTGATGTCCACATCTAGATTCTTCCATAAATACAATGTTTACTCATAGGCGTGCGCAGCCTATTGTATAAGGGTGTGCACCCTAAAGCAGAAACACACACGCCACGTATATATATTTATATATATATATACATACATACATACATACACACACACACACACACACACACTGCTGTGTGTGAGGGTGCTGTTTGTAGGTGCTGTGTGTGTGTGTAGGTGATGTGTGTGTGGGGGCGCTGAGTGTGTGAAGGCGCTGTGTGTGTGTGAAGGTGCTGTGTGTGTAAGGGTGCTGTTAGTGTGTGCTGTGTGTATGTATGTGTAAGGGTACTGTTAGTGTGTGTGTGAGAGGGTGCTGTGTGTGTAAGGGTGCTGTTAGTGTGTGCTTTGTGTGTGTGGGTGAGGGTGCTGTGTGTGTAAGGGTGCTGTGTGTGTCAGGGTGATGTTCGTGTGTGTATGTGTAAGGGTGCTGTTAGTGTGTGCTGTGTGTGTGTAAGGGTGCTCTGTGTGTGAGGGTGCTGTGTGTAAGGGTGCTGTTAGTGTGTGCTGTGTGTGTGTGTGTATGTGTGAGGGTGCTGTGTGTGTAATGGTGTTGTTAGTGTGAGAGTGCTGTTAGTGTGTGTGTGTAAGGGTGTTGTTAGTGTGTGCTGTGTGTGTGTAAGGGTGCTGTGTGTGTGAGGGTGCTGTGTGTGAGGGTGCTGTGTGTGAGGGTGCTGGTGTGTGTGTGTGTGTAGGGTGCTGTGTGTGTAAGGGTGCTGTTAGTGTGTGCTGTGTGTGTGTATGTGTAAGGGTGCTGTGTGTGTAGGGTGCTGTTAGTGTGTGCTGTGTGTGTGTATGTAAGGGTGTGTGTGTGTAAGGGTGCTGTTTGTGTGTGCTGTGTGTGTATGTGTGAGGGTGCTGTGTGTGTAAGGGTTTTGTTAGTCTGAGGGTGCTGTTAGTGTGTGTGTGCTGTGTGTGTAAGGATGATGTATGTGTGTGTGCTGTATGTTTGTGTGTAATGTGTGGGGGCCGTTTAGTTAATTTTCCCCTCCCTTCTTACCTTATGTAGGAAGGGGGGACCATGCTCCTGCCTTCCCTGGTGGTCCAGTGGAGACTGAACTATAGCCCCCTGTGGGGCTAGAGTTCACTCTTGCGAGATCTGAGTTTTTGCCGCAGTAACCGCGGCAATGCTCCGACCGCGCGAGAGGAACCCGGCGGAGCTGCTGGCAAGAGCCGGCACACCCCGTACGCACGCCTATGTGTTTACTCACCAATATTCTTCTGTCATTGTAGCAGAACCCCTTTGGCTGTCCCATCTATTCCCCTTTTATTGTTGGAGCCTAAGAGTTTTTTCCTGTGCCTGGATTATACAACATTGCATACAGCCATATGTGGCCATACTTTGTTCGGTAGAAAGATATACAAGCCTGCATGTGAACAGCTATATTCACCATACGAACTAAAGTACCGAACAACTGGACCACCCTGGTGTGAAGTGTGGCTGTAATTTACCTCCTGTATGATCGTTCCATTCCCTTGGTTTAAACGCACGAACACTCTGTTGTATTTCCTGGGTGGCCGCCATTTCGGCAGCCTAACACATGGCGGCAGCCATCTTAAACCTGCGAACATCGGCGTTTGGTCGTCGAGTGTCTGTAACTCAAAACGGACACTCGACGAACCAAACACCGCTAAGACCTCCAGGACTTCAGAAAGTGCCGATTGAAGCGCACGAACAGCCCGTCGTTCGGTAGGATGAATCCCATGAACTACAGGATTCATCCGAATGCAGACTTAACCCTGGATGGCATAGACTTTCGGGACTTTTGAGGCACGAACAAAGACCAACCGCAGGGCCAGATCTCATGGAACTATTTTCAGCTACTTTACCCATGCGGTCGGTCAAATCTTTGCTTCATCATAACTCCCGAACCCCTGATCTTATCTGTGTGATTTTTGAATATGTTGCTCACCCATATCAGGGCTACCAGGGGGTACCACATTTAAAGGTGTACCTACCATATTTGGGGTACATCCAAGAATTGCGAAAAGTATGTACTTTATAATCATGTTAACTGTTAAGCTAAGGGGAGGAGATGTGTGGGAGGTAATGTCTATGTGATTGGTTACTGTAGTAATTATGATCAGTCCTCCCTTGCATGGGAGAATCTCATAAAAGCAGGAACTGTGCCATTAAAAGTTAGTTCTACTCCTGATACTGTGTGTCGTCCAGTGATTGGGAAAGGTGATGGGATACTGTTGGATTTTATTGCTGATTGTGCTGGTTACCCTTTTTGGATTTACTACTTGTTCCTGCATTCTTCTAATATACCAGTGGAGTTAAGCTGTGGGAAATCAGCTCTACGCTACATTCATGAAGACAGAAAGGATGGGGCCTTATCTCTGCACTAGTGAGGCCACGCGACCTTCAGGCTGGAGATAATATTCTCTCTCTTCTTCCTCAAAATTAGATCTTTATTTATAATAGCAATGAAATTGTTTTGTTCTTGCTCCTCAGAATACATTGTAGATTCTGCATTTTTTCATTTGTTTTTGCTATAGTGGCAGGGTTTCCAGATTCTCACTAGTAACTTCTTGTTCAGACCGTCCCAGAGGAGATGTGGTTCCACAAGAGCACTTCATGGAGTTTAGGATGTTCAACCACAATTCTTCTTTAGCCACGGGAAGTTCTAGATATTCGGGAGGAATCAAGCTTTGCTAAAAGTTTTAAAGGTTTACATAAAAGTAAAGGATTGAATACATCAAGTACATCAAGAAATGATCAGTCTATAATTTTAATGGTAGGTGTAATTTAACAGTGAGAGACAGAATAAAAAAAAAAAAAAAGAAAAACGTATGTCAAAATAGTTATAAATTGATTTGCATGTCAAAGTGAAATGAGTGGAGATAATTGGATTAGATTAGTATGGTTCCTGATCCAATTATCTACCAGGCATAGAGGAGCGGTTATCTGATTTTATATGGGAGAGTCCTGGACCTGAGAGCCAATGTGATTGTGTATTTACTTCTACTGTGGTTTACTCTCAGGTCCAGGGGGAGTGCCTCTTGAATGGGGACTGTCATAAAAGGCCAGTTGTAGCTACCATTAAACTGAGATTCGTTTTACCCTTCATGAAGTCTAGGCTCATGTTTGGGGAATTGGAGAGCTATATTCACACTCTGGGGATTCCTATAATTACTATACTCCCTTGGACTACAACACTTGCTCCTTGTAAGAGCAGCCTGCTTCCATAGGCATGCACACGGGGTGTGCTGGGTGTGCCTGGGCGCAATGTGCCTCCTTCCCTCAAAGATCTCCCTCACCTAACCACAGGCAGTGAGGGAGGCAGGAGAGGACCCGGGGAGCTTTTGCC